CCAACCAACACACACTATATATATACTAGTATATATATATATATATATATATATATATATATATATATATATATACATATATATATATAATACATATACATTTACATTTACATATACATATACTTGATACTTATACATAGATACATACATAAAAATAAGATACATAGATACATAGATACATACAAATATACATAGATCCTTATTACATATATATGTATATACATATATACATACATACAAATAAGATACATAGATACATAGATACATACAAATATACATAGATCCTTATTACATATATATGTATATATATTATGTACTTGGCGACAAAAAAATGAACAAAGCCTTAAGTGAAACTCGGAGCTGGCAGTTTCAGCGATTGAACACGAGTAAAATGATCTCGTAAAGAGTTAACAACACGCGAAAAACATACACAAGCAATAATAATACCTGGCTATGAAAATGGTCTTTGTGCCTGGGCATACCTTCAGGAATACTTCCACCAATTAAGTTAGTGGAATCGAAACAGTCGAATTCCATATTATTGACGTGGGCGTTTATTTCACACGAAGCCTGAGAGAAAGTGCTCAAAGGCATTAGATAAACTTATAAAGTATTGGCAGTCGGTCAACGCAAGTAAGAGTCAATCAGATTTGAAACTTATATGCACATATACCAAGCCGAAAGCATGGTTTAGCCACGCGCACTACTTCAGGCAACAAACGCACTTTATGCAGACGAAGTACTAGGCACCCAACAATTGTACACAATTCAGATGGTTTGATATATTTGGTTTGATATATTTTAACACATGAATATAATAGCTCGATCTCCGGTCGCGTCAAATTCTTTTGTGAGTACGACTGAGCAAATATCAAACTTGACGGAGACAAAACATAGCACTTTTGGAGCCGAGTGGCTTCATACCAGAGCGCAGTCGTCGATGTCGTTGACCGATATATGTGACGCTCCCGCTAAACGGCATGCAAGAGCGACGATCCCACATCCAGCTCCAATATCAAGCACGCGCTGATGACACCCAAGGGGTGTTGGGTGCACGTAGCGGAAGTCGTACGTATGAGGACATATTCAAAAATAGAGAATTGCGAGACTGACTGCCTGTATCGTGATTGAATTGGCTTTAAATCGTACGAAGCAAGCTCTCGCGTTGAAGCTTAGTTTAAACGCACCGTTGATCATCCTCGCTATACCAGCGGTGGTATATGCAAACAGTAAACTAAACAGTCGCCGTAAAGCTTTCTTCCGTTTAAGCGATCAGAATATATGAGCGGCACAGTACAGTAAAGCAGACCAAACCTCAAACTCTCAGACGAGCGGGTAAGAGGCGTGACCTGGGTACTGTGACTGTGCATTAAAAAGTTTAAACACATACCTTGCCCTTAACGGTGTGGGGGTTGTCAATTATGTATCGAGCGAGTGTTGCGCCACCGGGCCATGCAAATCCCCAAAACGGTGCTTCGATATTATGCTCGGTGCGCAAAACGGCGAGCTCGTTTTCACCTGCTCGATATAACTCGCAATCTGAGGTGATCAGCCTCAAGCGAATCTCAGGTACTAAAGGTACATCTCGTACTAGCTTGGTGTTGTCCGATATGAATTTTTGATAAAAAGGAATCAGGTCGATAGGACCGGCTGGAGATTGTCGGTCAGTATGCAGGGGCCTCATTGACATGAGTGGCGTCGAGTTATACGCAATGGCTACACAGTTAGTTGGTTCAAGCATCGGCCGCCACCTCGTTTTTATTGTGGATTTGTGACACGTTCTCTGACCTATGCAGAAAGCTCGCCTAGAAAGCGTGTACATCTTGAGTTCGCTCTCGTGTCAGTTTAAACGACGGAGGACGATGTACAGCTACTACTAGCCTACTACTAATTAACTAAAATTTATTTATTTACTGTTACAATAGCCTCCTCTCGACTCTCGTGTATGCCAGTCTCCCGCGACTTGCCGTTTCTAAAGAGAAAGAGAGAGGGAATAAAAATTGGCCAAAGAAACAATAAAGCCGTGAAACTCTAAAACCCTAAAACATATATTTAGTCAGGGGCCCGTGGGGCCTGGGCCTGTGGGCTGGACCGCTGGAGTGCCCTTACTCACCTGTCACCGCCCCCTCTTGACTGACAGTCTGACAGTGACAACGGACTGGGTAGAGGGGTTAGGACTCAGGGGCATCTAAATTGGTAAAAATATGTATTTAAAAGAAAAAGAAAAAAAGAATCATGTGAACAGCCATTTCGGCCGTCTCATTGGGCAAAAAGGGTTGGCAGTATAATCTCATCTCCCTCAGCCTTCTCAGCCCTCAGGCCCAGGGCCTCACACTCATAGGCTCACTCACACTGTCCTCAGTGACTCACACCATCACGGCCCTCACGGACCCGTCACACCGGTCTCATAACAAACGTAAAGCGTATATACGTTTATACGCAATGCGTAAGCGGGAATACGTTATACGTTTACTAATAAACCGATAAGGCTATATACAATGCTACTTACATATTCTGGGTCGAGTGGCCGTTTCTATACCATATTTATATTCCAGGGCTCAAACACGAGTGATGGCTTTCTCGGTCGCAGGTGCACGTGGTAACAATACACAGTACGCGGCAATGTGTGGTATATTTCTAAACCATATTCTTGTTGATACTAAATATCATTTTTAAAGTCGTGAAGTATACGTCTACGGCTTATAATCCGAATTCTTTGAGTAACGGTTCCATAAGGGCACATTCTTTGTGGTCTAGCAATCGGTGGACGAGTCCGAAGTAGCAAAAATGTTGGAACATCGTATTCAGGTGCCCGTTCAAACCTAATTCCAAGACCTACAGGCATTAGAAAGGTGTCAGACGGTATCGGAATTAGAAATGCATAACTGCATTCATTACAGAGTGGCGTTCTCAGGTTGACAAATGCGTTTGACATACTGAGACGAGAGCGCTGGAGAGAATAGTTCAATAGTGACGGGGCAATAGACGAGAGAACAGGGAGAGCATTCAAACATACTCACAGTACATATTCAGGAAAAGCATAAAAAGATTCACACACAATATTGACAGACTACAACAGAAGCACGCGGAGAGAAACGCAGGGACGGAGAAGATAGGGAATTAAAAAAACAGATACGCACAGTACAAATACAGGAAAAGCATAAAAAGATTCACACACAATATTGACAGACTACAACAGAAGCACGCGGAGAGAAACGCAGAGACGGAGAAGATAGGGAATTAAAAAAACAGATAATACTGTAGAGTTTCATACCTGTGAGTAGTGTGAGTGGTACATATGTGATAAAACATGAAAGAGCAGCTTGAATATCTTTTTGCAAACCGTCAGGAAATCTCTGGAAAAGTTCATATCTGTGGTAGGAATCAGAAATGAAAAACCAATCGTGAGCAAAAAATGATGTGATCTAAATGTATGGGCAGAGTCAGCCCCCGTCGGCGACAGAGCTCGTGACTAAGAACAATAAGCAATTTTCGAAGTATTTCGTTGACTGTGGACGTCCTCTAGCGCATAACCAGGGATTACAAGGCTCGCGGATATCGGGACAAAAATTTCACAAAATAGAGACAACAGCATCATTAGGATCAACACTGCTTCGATTCGGATCTCAGAGCCACAAGTAGTTGAATTTGAAGTGTTTCACGTATATAGATAGGACGCCAGAAAAATCCAGATTTAGGTACATACAAGGTCTATAATTTAGCGCTAAATGTGCTTGCTTAGCAGCCAGACTAACAATGTTTTAGACCGTGATTCAATTGAATCGCATCGACGCTCAACAGACAAACCTGCTACAGTATCAACGGCATACCTAAAAGCCTTAAATAAATAGAGAGACGCACCGAAAGCTAAGAGTGAAATACCCTTCAATGCGTCTCAGGCAGTACGATGACAACCTAACATGAGCCCAACTTACTCACCAGTGCATCGATTGTTTAAATCGCACAGAAACAACTAGACAGAACCGACCACCAACTTAACATACCTAAGCGTGTGGGGAATATATTTTCGTCCTCGATCTGCGTCTGTATATAGCTCATAGCGTATTCGATGTAGTTGGGGGCCGCCAAGCCCTTCACCTTCTTCCCTCGTTCGTCAAACCATACAAATTCAGTCCTGCGTCAATTAAATCGTGTATACATCAGGCAACGGCTAACCCGTGACTTTTTGGACGTAAGAAGATAAAATACAATTCCGCATATGAATACTGTATACTGCAGATAGTTGCATACCAAAGTAATACACTCAGATGCTACATACAAACGCGATTCCTTATTCGACTACGATCTAATTCCAATGCTTGCATACTTTGAGCCGGCGGACATGGTCGGACACCGCGACACATTGCAGAAATCGGAGAGGGTGGCGTATAGCACCGATGTGTGATTGAAGAATGGGCCCACTATAATACAAAGGTCCGCAAGGGTTAGTTTACGATAGTTGCAATACACAATTATAAGGTGGAGAATTACAACGAATGGAGATCTACATCAATGGTTGAATTTGGATTCATTTGGAAATCCAGATGTCTTAATAACGCACTGGCGCTCTACAATCAAGTTTAGATATTCGCACCCTCATGATCACAGAGTGCTACGAAAACACGTGCTCGGCTCTGTTAAGCTATATGCGAAATACAAGACGGCTCATGAAGTAGTGTATCTGCTACAGAGAGCAGTATATTTACAGACAATTCTGTGAAGGCTTCCAATGCTATTTAATTTACAGGCTTTATATGCCACACAATAAGTCGCAGATACGTTACACAGAGTGGCATCGAACGAAGAACATACTACATTCTTATCTACACAGCTAGTTGCTAGCGTTTATAAAACAGCGCAGCTACACACCGTTTGCAGCCACCCATTCGTTCTGAGGCACGTGTATGGGACAGGCTACCATTTCTTTCCAGTTGTAGTCGAAAGCCTTCGTCTTGACATTCGATTCGGCGAGCCATTGTGCTGCTACCTCGACTGTACCCTTCTTCTTCTTACCTCTATATCGACAAATGGGGAGAAATTGAACAACATTTAGACTTGAAGGAATGTATATCACACAGAAGCGTTGATAAATTGACTGATCAAATATTCTATCATGTTGGATGCATGTGCCATTTAAACACAAAAAAAACCCCGGGTGAAGACCTCAAGCACCATTAGAAACCAACAAATACATCTATACATATTCCTAAACAAACACGCAAACACACAAACACACATATAAACGCACACACACACACACACACACACACACACACACACACACACACACAACACACACACACACACACACACACACACACATATATATATATAGTATATATATA